AAATTAATGTGCCTTTCAAGTGTTTACTGTTTAATTTATTATAAAGTATATTCGAATAAATTTTAAATTTATTCCACGAAATACAAACAACAAATAATAGACACTTTTTTGTATACAAATATAATAATAATTTTAGTTATTCGAGTGTGTAGAGCATACGAAATATATGACAGTTTAAATTTGTTTAATGATATTTTAATATATTTTTCGTATAATAGTTCACACACGCATTGAACACATACACTACTAATTACGCTAAAAATAAGAATTAAATTTGTATAATTAATACAATCAATGTATTTATTAAAGAAAAACCTGTCACTCATCGATTGATAAAGAAGTTTTAATACGATTTACAGAAATTTACAAACTTTCTGTGGGAACCCGGTGTTGTGTAGCGTGTGGCTACACAGTTAAGATATTGCCGTACATACGCGTGCACGTCTACATTCGACAAATTGGGTGATAAAAGCAATACTCTGGAAGAGTTTTGCAGAGACGTTAACGTAGACAACATCGTTAACTTATCCATAGAAAAAAGCCAGCAATAGATTTTGTAGCGATTTGCGGAATCTTTACTAATATATGTGAGGAAAATCTCTCGTGATAGAATTTTTCTCTACTTGCACCAGTTCGTTACGAGCGTTTCTCTGAGGTGGTGGCCATTAGGGATTGCAATTGCAGAATGTCTCATCCAGCAATCCAGCTGGATCCAGCACCAGGTGCTGGTTCCAGCGCTGCGGATCCGCAAATACTCGATTAACTTTCTAAATAATGGCGCAAAAGTCTACGTTGTCGGCCTTGCTGCTTTGCTACGTGCGCTATCGCTCGGCGGCGAGAGCGACGTTGCCGTACAGTGCGGCACGTGCTACACCACATCTCTACACAGCACCGCCCGCACTTTTACCTCTGCTGATCTAATTGTCAGTTGACTTTCCGCTCTCGCTAAATAAAGTGTCTTCGCGCTAAATAAAATAAGTAACTCATATCCTAGTTTTGGTGCACAATTCTAATTTACGGTTGGTTGAGACGTCAATGAATCACGTGACGGAACTTGCAGTTTAAACTGGTTGTAGAAGATCTCTACAGAAGAGTCGAGTTTGATAACTGCTGACACAACCCTGAAATTTGTCTTAGACAAACTAAAAAGCCATGACACAATCTCGAGTGTCAACCTTTCCGAGGCACTCCACTAAAGAATCAGAGAACGGCGTCTTACCGAGGTCACAGGGATGCTGATTCATATACAGAACCCGAAGAAGTATGACCAAAAAGTTAGAAAGCTTTATCTTTCTAACTTTTTGCTGAAAAAATATAATGCTCCAGGAGATGAAAAATATGCTAAATCGTGTAAATACATATGTAATGGAACCAGCAGCAATGGCAGAGGATATTACGGAGATGGAAAACGATGATCCAGAACACCCGGATTTCCTGAATTTCACATTGGAACAAGAATTAGAGATTTAACTAAAGCGTGAGAAAGAAAACTTCATGAAACGGAAAGAAACTAGTAATGAGAAAGACTATTATAAGTCATTAATTAATTTAACAAATCAATACCGTCAATGTCTGTTTCACTACTTGAATCGTCTTTAAGCTTCAGATTTAAATCCTAACCAAGTTAAAATATCATTAATTATACTTAGACCCATGTCAGAAGAATTATTAACAAAATAATTGCAATTTGATACGCGATAGAACTGTTCGAATGCGTACAAGTACAAATTGAGAAGGATGCTCTGTGGGGATTCCCTAATTTCGCCAGTCCTGTCAACTTCTGTAATAGAGCACGACTATGAATACTTGGCTCTCAGGCGCCGCCAGATGGTTCAACCTGCCAACAGACGTTTCGCATTGCATCTTAATTCTGATAAATGCCAATAGAGGCGCTGTTAACGCTATAATATAGGCTAAATAAGAATATAGTAATTGCGCTCCGGTCGGATTTTTTTCTCCTTGCGAAGACGTTTTTTATGCTATAAGTAGGGTGGGTATTGTGACAATGACTTTGAATATTACGTGACCGATCGCTCGATTTGCCGCCCCACTGGACGTGCCGCCCTCGTGCGGTGCACGCCTTGCACGCCCGCTTACGGCGGACCTGCCTAAAGCTATAGGTTATGGTGTTGTAATCCAGCTAATTTCAAGGAGTTTAAAAAGTTTACCGGGTACATTACTGCGTAATCTATTTCGATAATAGAATCAATAGCTTTGTATGTTGTGCAAGTTCGAAAACGTGATTAGATATGAAATTAATTTGGCAACATGTTTTTAGATTGGAATTAGATTAGTTTAGATTAGATTAGATTTGGAAATGTTTTTAGATGCTAATGTTGCTCTCTCGTATATCGATTTGTGGTTTAAGGACAACTTTTTCACCTGAACTTTCAGTGATAATGCCTTTAGGCATGCGTTAAGATACTCAGCAGGTGTCGGCAAGCAAACCTACAATCTATTATCAACAATACAAAAACCAGTAATCAACTATCAGTAATACAAAAATCAACAATCAGGTTGTATTTATGATTTTTGTCAACAGATGACACTACATGAAAGGATGCAAAGGTTGTTTACTATCAAAATATTTTGGAGTAGTATACAGCTTAGTGTCTTTTCTAAGATCTAAGTATTACTCATACAAACTTTAGTCCAAATCGATTTAAAAAGAGATTGGGTTCGAGAAACGAAGAAGAAATTAGAAAACACGAATTTTTAAAGGGCATGCCCTGNCCCCCTGTGGAGCGTGGGCCCCACGTTGGAAAACACTGGTTTGTGGCTAGTGTGACACGAAATAGCATAGATTACGTTTGTGTTTTTGGAGAGTGTTGAGTTAAATTAAAATAAAAACAATGTCGACAAAAAGTTTAGTAGTGTAATATGGAAATATTTTACGATAGTGAATGACGAATATGCTATTGCTACCTATCTTTAAAATTTCATATAAGTTATGAAATTCATTAAGATAAAAGATTCGCTAAAGATCCGCTAAAAAGTAACGGATACGGATACGGATATCGGGCACATCACTAATTTTTATTATAATAGTTTTTTAGGACTTGAATATTAAACAATTCAAATACGTTCTAAATTCCATTTTGAATTTAGAATATTAAAAAAACGTTCGATATTACGTTGTTTCCGATTCGAACACAATTTCACACTTTTCCTCTTTCATTATCGACTGCGCAAACAGACATTAATAAAATATGTCAAGCTATTTGACACGTGTTAACAAATGATTACGTAAAGTTTCCAACCAGAAAAGAATTTCCCAATCTTCTGAAGAAATCTTAAAATTAAATAGAGCTTTTCTCATTGCGTTGATGCAATAAATGTAGATCAAAAAATAAACACAAAAAATTCAAAAATAAAATTAATTTTATGCGTAATTCTAAGCAAGTTCTGCGATTAGCGTGACGTAAGCACGTTTCTAATTGTTGTTTAAACAATAGACATTAATAATATATTTTCGGCCATTGTCAAAGCGTTTGTTTGGTGCTATCGAATGCGAGACTCGCTTTTGAAAATAACTTTTATGAGTAAGTTAAAGTACATTTTTATTGTATAATTATATTAACTGTTTACTTACGTGTCGGAAATAAATATAGAAACATAAAATTAAAAGTAATTTTCGACCAGATGTTTAAAAATCCCAATAGAATGTTATAGAATGATAAGAACGGCGAATATAGGCCTATTCTTAGTGCAATTAACGGTATTTAACTTTGCATTCATTTTCTGCTTGAGACAATTACATTATTAAACGTATTTTCTTCAAATAAATAACAATTTATTATTTCGTTTTCCGATCTTATCTCAATATTGAATTCCACTAATAAACATTTAGTCATTTATTTCACCGGGAATAACTCTTCAGTAAGCAATGTTGCGTATCAATTATTGATTCTACGATTGTAACAATTTACACTTTTTACACAATTAATAACGTCAAATATCAATGTAATATTTATACTTTGTAACAGAAATAAATTGACTTTTGCTAAATTCTTAGTATTATTGCTGTGGATTTTCAATGGATAAAATTTCCAAATTATGTTTCGACAATAAGAATTTCATCTGTTTATTTGGTGTAAACCGTTTGTTATTTCCTTTCTTTTTCTCTTTCAAATTTTTATATAATTATAAAATTTACGTCAAAAAACTTTTACAAATTGCTGTGTTTATTGCGTTTACTTTTATTCTCTAGATTATAATTATCAAATGGAGTTAGAAAATACAAGTGAACACCACGCGAGTGAGACCGACGTTAATGCGGAAGATTCTCTTACAAATATAGTGAATGCAATCACTCAGCTGAGAAGTGATATAAAAGTTGATTTCCCGGAAGAAACAGAATTGTCTTCTGTAAGTTCAATTGAAAATAATTTAATAATTCTTATCATCTAAAGAATGAAAACTGAAAAACACAATACGAGAAATCCACAATTTGTGGAAAGTGTTGTTTGTAATGACTGCAAATTCTTTATTAATTAATAAATGATTTTTTCGAGTAATAAAAGAACATTTCGACTACTGTAAGATTATTCTATCAGGAATGAGAAGTTTTCTCTTTTTACAGGATTCCGACGACGAAGAGGAGGGTACTTTTTGGTCTTTGAAAAGTGGTTGTTTTGAGAACAGACCATTGAAAAAAAAATTTATATTCTTAGAAAAGTATTCATTGGTCGAAGAAGTAATATATGAAGAAAACGAAGAAGTGGAAAAGTTGGTTGAAGGTGAGGTTACAAATAGATTGTAAAAAATTATAAAATAATTTGTTAAAAATTATTAAGAAATCTTTTAATGTTAAACTCATTCTCTTCAAATCTATTTAAATTACAAAACTTAATATTAGTTATCCATTTTCAGTCTTTCACCTGTATTGTATGTCGTAGTTTATTATATTCGAAACAATTCAAAAATAGATCATTCATTTCTACAAAGATTACATTTATTTCGTCAAAAACACTTTCGATGATGAATTTTGTTACTGTTTAACTAACAATTTCAACCACATTATATAAATATTCAGCAGTAAACATGATTAATTAAGAGGAAACCAGCAAATAAAATAATTGGAACAAACACAACCTTAACATTCACGAAATGATTCATTCTGTTGGACACTTCTCGTATCAAATTTAATAGAAAATTAATTTATCACTTTTTAACGTATATGTCGAGAAATTTCCAATAATTTTAATATAATTGAATGGTTGTTTATTGTTCTGGCTGTTATATTTTTTGACCTTGGAGGTTTTTGAAATGGTAGACGAAAACGGTGACACCTCCGAACAGAAAAAGTAAAAAAAACGAAATATGTGTCTGTGTTTATTCACGTCTATTTCCTTTAATATTTCTAGATAGGTAAACATTACGAACCGAAATTTGCACGGTAACTTGTTTAATAAGGGACATCGTGGACATTCAATTTTGACGTATGAAGGTAAACAATACAAGTGGGTCACCCGTCACGTCTCGAGGATAGTCGATGTTTATCAAGAGTTTACACGCTTTTAGCGCTTACAATTTTCTATACAACTTGTCTCTATTTTCAGACTTAAGCTGACGTAAACACGTCACTACGTGTTTACGTGTAAGCTGACGTAACACAAGCTGACGTAAACACTACGTGTTTACGTCAGCTTGTGTTACATCAGTTTACGAAAGCTTGTGTTACGTCAGCTTACGTCAGCTTGTGTTTACGTCAGCTTACGTAGTGTGTATAAATATAAAATAAACGCTCGTAGAACTCAGACATCGAGAACTAAAGTCGAATTTTCTTGAAATGTAACACAAAACTTGAATATAATTGTTTGTATATAAATTTGTTGGAATTATTATTAGCGACATCCGGTGTAATTAATAAAAGTCGTAGTCTACGCCTGTATCCAAATACACTTAAAAAACAGACAATTCGTAAAAGGCATGCAGAGATTTGTATTAATATTGAGTGTATTATATTTTTGATTCTTTGATTTATTTACAATGGAAGAAATCCGATTTGACATTTACTTACATAGTAATTATATTGCATTACTTCACTGTTTACACAATAATACTACTTTCTAACTTCTTATACAGTTTATATAGAAATATAGAGATGTATTTCTACGTAAACTTATTAGCCTGATACAACTTTTTATAATGAATGTGTTTGAATAGGTGTAGGCATTACGATATAAAATTACATAAAAATGACATAAAATTTTTAAATGATTTTTGTAGAAAACAATAAAGACAAAGAGATGACAGGAAGAAATAAAGAGTTGATAAAATTAATTCGATTGGATAAGAGAAGGGACAATGATCATAGATTTCTATGCAAAAGTGAATCGGATGACGATGATAAAGTAAGTAAATATTTTTTAACCTTTTCTAATTTACACTTACGAATTCATTCTTGTTTTTCGCTGAATTTTAATTTCAATATTATTTTGATATTTTAAGATTCGTTTTCTCTCTTGTATTCACAATGATTTTATACATTCGGGTTATGAAGTTTATGTTCGAAATTTCAAACTATAAAAATGAGTATAAAAAAATTGTAAATATTAATTTGAGAATAACCAAAATTTTCAAAAGACAAATTAAGATATTCAATTATTAAAGAATTTTATAATACAAGCGAACACTTCATCATTTGTGCTTGTCGTTGATAAAATCCGTTTAGTTTGATTAAACTCCTTTTCTAAATGTCCAACAGTTAAATTTACTTTTCATATTTATCCATTTTTATAAAATCAACAGAAGACGACTCGTGTTTTCTTAATAAGAAATTTTCAATTCATTGAAAACATATTCTTTTTCAGTATTTATTGTAATTATACTGGCAATACTTTCGTAATATTATTTTATAACAAATATTGTAATTTGAACCTGCAGTTAATATAATATTCATATTTTATTTACAAAACATTTTTATTATTTGCAGGAAACGACCAAATGTTTCGATGTTTCTGTGGAAGTTTTCCGCAGATTTCCATCTATCATCCGCTCTTGTTTAAAAAGAAAAAAGTAAAACGACGGAATGTAGATCATCGTCTTTATTTTAATCGTTACATTCCGTTTAGCTAAAAAACAGAAAAAAAAAGTTATATTTTAATTAATATTATTAGAAAAATTTATTGTTTCTATGATTATAACGAAAACACATTAAAAAATTTACTTCGTCAAACTATCTAGTGTGCAACTTTCATCGGCAGGCGCCCTGGTATCATCTGCTCTGTACTTTCGGCCGAATTATTAATGCTTCATAAAACAGAGCGAAAGGTAATTTCTAATGCATTCGTAGAGATGTCATTAAAATGCTTATCTCTGGAAGGAAAGATAACGAAGGTTATCAGAAAAATTGTCAAGGGGTTCCTTCGTGGAGGCATAATAACAATATTTGTCTCTGCAAGGAAAGAAAGCGAAAATCTTCAGATGGAATTGTCAAGATGTCCCTTCGTGGAAACATATTCACAATACTTGTCTCTGCGAGGAAGGAAACCAAGAAAATGGAAATTGGAATAGTAAAACAGAAATCTGTTAGCCTTCAATAATAGTTTTATTAAATAACAGAATAATGAATTGTGATATGGTAAATGATGTTTTTCGTAAAGATAAAAGCTTCTATTTTAATGAAATCTTTAAGTTATTAGCAACGGTTTTTTTTTGAATGAAACAAAGAGTTACTTCCATTTGATCTCAAAGAATGCAATCCGTCTTTAAATTTGAAAAATGAAATTGGAATGCACACCGTTTAACATCTATTTATATGATTTTGTCTATGATAGTGTTTTATCACAGGTTTATTATTAATATTTTCAAAATTTATGAGTTTGATCGCACCTAAAAGTCATTAATCTTTGTGTTGCATTTTTCAAATAATAAATTAATGTGCCTTTCAAGTGTTTACTGTTTAATTTATTATAAAGTATATTCGAATAAATTTTAAATTTATTCCACGAAATACAAACAACAAATAATAGACACTTTTTTGTATACAAATATAATAATAATTTTAGTTATTCGAGTGTGTAGAGCATACGAAATATATGACAGTTTAAATTTGTTTAATGATATTTTAATATATTTTTCGTATAATAGTTCACACACGCATTGAACACATACACTACTAATTACGCTAAAAATAAGAATTAAATTTGTATAATTAATACAATCAATGTATTTATTAAAGAAAAACCTGTCACTCATCGATTGATAAAGAAGTTTTAATACGATTTACAGAAATTTACAAACTTTCTGTGGGAACCCGGTGTTGTGTAGCGTGTGGCTACACAGTTAAGATATTGCCGTACATGAGCGTGCACGTCTACATTCGACAAATTGGGTGATAAAAGCAATACTCTGGAAGAGTTTTGCAGAGACGTTAACGTAGACAACATCGTTAACTTATCCATAGAAAAAAGCCAGCAATAGATTTTGTAGCGATTTGCGGAATCTTTACTAATATATGTGAGGAAAATCTCTCGTGATAGAATTTTTCTCTACTTGCACCAGTTCGTTACGAGCGTTTCTCTGAGGTGGTGGCCATTAGGGATTGCAATTGCAGAATGTCTCATCCAGCAATCCAGCTGGATCCAGCACCAGGTGCTGGTTCCAGCGCTGCGGATCCGCAAATACTCGATTAACTTTCTAAATAATGGCGCAAACGTTTACGTTGTCGGCCTTGCTGCTTTGCTACGTGCGCTATCGCTCGGCGGCGAGAGCGACGTTGCCGTACAGTGCGGGACGTGCTACACCACATCTCTACACAGCACCGCCCGCACTTTTACCTCTGCTGATCTAATTGTCAGTTGACTTTCCGCTCTCGCTAAATAAAGTGTCTTCGCGCTAAATAAAATAAGTAACTCATATCCTAGTTTTGGTGCACAATTCTAATTTACGGTTGGTTGAGACGTCAATGAATCACGTGACGGAACTTGCAGTTTAAACTGGTTGTAGAAGATCTCTGCAGAAGAGTCGAGTTTGATAACTGCTGACACAACCCTGAAATTTGTCTTAGACAAACTAAAAAGCCATGACACAATCTCGAGTGTCAACCTTTCCGAGGCACTCCACTAAAGAATCAGAGAACGGCGTCTTACCGAGGTCACAGGGATGCTGATTCATATACAGAACCCGAAGAAGTATGACCAAAAAGTTAGAAAGCTTTATCTTTCTAACTTTTTGCTGAAAAAATATAATGCTCCAGGAGATGAAAAATATGCTAAATCGTGTAAATACATATGTAATGGAACCAGCAGCAATGGCAGAGGATATTACGGAGATGGAAAACGATGATCCAGAACACCCGGATTTCCTGAATTTCACATTGGAACAAGAATTAGAGATTTAACTAAAGCGTGAGAAAGAAAACTTCATGAAACGGAAAGAAACTAGTAATGAGAAAGACTATTATAAGTCATTAATTAATTTAACAAATCAATACCGTCAATGTCTGTTTCACTACTTGAATCGTCTTTAAGCTTCAGATTTAAATCCTAACCAAGTTAAAATATCATTAATTATACTTAGACCCATGTCAGAAGAATTATTAACAAAATAATTGCAATTTGATACGCGATAGAACTGTTCGAATGCGTACAAGTACAAATTGAGAAGGATGCTCTGTGGGGTTTCCCTAATTTCGCCAGTCCTGTCAACTTCTGTAATAGAGCACGACTATGAATACTTGGCTCTCAGGCGCCGCCGGATGGTTCAACCTGCCAACAGACGTTTCGCATTGCATCTTAATTCTGATAAATGCCAATAGAGGCGCTGTTAACGCTATAATATAGGCTAAATAAGAATATAGTAATTGCGCTCCGGTCGGATTTTTTTCTCCTTGCGAAGACGTTTTTTATGCTATAAGTAGGGTGGGTATTGTGACAATGACTTTGAATATTACGTGACCGATCGCTCGATTTGCCGCCCCACTGGACGTGCCGCCCTCGTGCGGTGCACGCCTTGCACGCCCGCTTACGGCGGACCTGCCTAAAGCTATAGGTTATGGTGTTGTAATCCAGCTAATTTCAAGGAGTTTAAAAAGTTTACCGGGTACATTACTGCGTAATCTATTTCGATAATAGAATCAATAGCTTTGTATGTTGTGCAAGTTCGAAAACGTGATTAGATATGAAATTAATTTGGCAACATGTTTTTAGATTGGAATTAGATTAGTTTAGATTAGATTAGATTTGGAAATGTTTTTAGATGCTAATGTTGCTCTCTCGTATATCGATTTGTGGTTTAAGGACAACTTTTTCACCTGAACTTTCAGTGATAATGCCTTTAGGCATGCGTTAAGATACTCAGCAGGTGTCGGCAAGCAAACCTACAATCTATTATCAACAATACAAAAACCAGTAATCAACTATCAGTAATACAAAAATCAACAATCAGGTTGTATTTATGATTTTTGTCAACAGATGACACTACATGAAAGGATGCAAAGGTTGTTTACTATCAAAATATTTTGGAGTAGTATACAGCTTAGTGTCTTTTCTAAGATCTAAGTATTACTCATACAAACTTTAGTCCAAATCGATTTAAAAAGAGATTGGGTTCGAGAAACGAAGAAGAAATTAGAAAACACGAATTTTTAAAGGGCATGCCCTGGCCACTAGCAACACGTTAGTTGTATGGTGCACTTTTAAGTCATGTAAAAATTTATTAAATTTATTATTATTATTAAATTTTGTAAATTATTTCCTAAATATACGGCGATTTTGCGGTCAGGAAATGTGATTTCATGCGAAATAACACCCTAGATGAAGAAAATAAAATAATTAATTATAAATATATATAAAAAAACCAATGTAATCTTTGATCGCGAATTACTAGGTATGAGGAAATTGACGTTAGTCAATGGTAGACGTGGCAGGCGATAAAATTTGCATACCTTCACGCTTATCGCATACGCGATCCGGTAAAACTTAAATTGACAGGATACGAGAACATTTACTACTAAAATTGGGACGTTGCCGATTCGAACTTCTTTTAAATTATATCGCCGCGATTTTGTGGTAAGCGATGTCGCGCGCGACAACTGCAAAAACTCAATTCCTGTATTCGATGTTTCGATTGAAGAATCAAAGTTTGACATTAGTTTTACTTCTGTCGCTGTTAAATATACATAACAAGAGAAAGTGCTGGAATCGCGACAAATTTAACCTTCTGGATTTTTGCGAATTCCCACGATTTTAGAGCACCTGAGTCCTGAGTCCAAAACAAGCGAAAAACACAAAAATTCCAGGGTGTGCGTATGTGTTAGCATCTACATACTAGACATACTAGCTTAAAGGGGATGAAGACCAGGGCCACTCGTAGGTATTGCCTGGTTTGAAATGGATTGAGAGGGAAAAGATTAAGGGAAGAAACGAAGGGGAAAAGTAAAGTGAGATAGGAAAGGGGATGAAAGTGGGAGTTACATGGGTGTTAGTATCGGTATTTTATTTAACAAAATATAAATTGTTACATAAGTAAAAGACATATTAACAGTATGACAAAATGCCCGTACTGAGGGTGTTACATAAGGAAACTGCAAACGGTGCAACAGGAGGATATGACTTGGAGTTACAGTACGGAAATGACGTGAAACTAGTCCCAACAATCAGATGTTACATTCAGTTGCAAATAAAGGGAATGTAGGATTTAAGATCACGGCAGCACGTTCTTTGCTGTTACAAAGTATTAAAATAGTGGAACCTAGCTTAACAAGCCCCTCTCATAACAAGTAATTCGCATAACGAGCAAAACAAGTTATAAAAACGACTCGCTTAACGAGCGACGTTTCGCATAACGAGTGAGGAGGAAAGGATTTAATTATAGCTTTTACATAGCTTAAAATTTGGCATATCGTTTGGTTGTTTATGAAACATGTTTTTTCGATTTTTATTTTTATTTTTTTTATTTTCTGCGAATTGAATTCGTATTTCAGGTTGGTTCATTCCGCGCTAAAGAAAAGATAGTGATGATTCACTCTCCTTAACTATGTATATTGTATAATTTTCTTTGAGTAAACGTTATACATAAAATATTTGAGTATTTTTTCAGCTTGGAGCGCATTATCGCGTTTTACATTAATTTATA